AAGACTTCACCAGTAATCGACTAACATCATTTAGGTGTCTGAATGGATTTTGAGATCTCTGGATCTGACAGCCTTAGACTTCAAGTCCATTGAGCAGCCTCTCAATGAACTCGAACGCCATCTTACTCTTCGGTCTTTCATTGTTGGATACTCCCTTACTCTGGCTGATATCATTGTATGGGGAACCATACGTGGAAATAAAGTGTCTATGTCCACTANNCAAAAAACGTGGCGGGAGTGTCCTTCGATGGTTTTCCCATATCGAGGCTGGAAACCCCTGGATGAATCAGATGGTCTCAGACTTGGAGGCCCCGTTCCGAAAGAAACGAGCTGCTGGTAGTGCTGCAGGAGCGAGTTATGAAATTGGTTTGAATGCTGAGAACATCATCACCAGGTTCCCTCCAGAGCCTTCTGGTTATCTTCATATTGGACATGCGAAGGCGGCTTTGCTCAACGATTTCTTTGCCCACAAACAATCGGGTGGGACCATGATATGTCGCTTCGATGATACAAATCCATCGAAAGAAAATGCAGAATTCCAGGATTCTATCCTTCATGATCTTGAGTTACTTGGGATCACTCCCGACAAAGTGACTTATTCCAGCGACTATTTTGACCTTATGTTCGATCTTTGCACTAAGTTGATTTCCAATGGCAAGGCATATGCGGACAATACCGACAAAGAGATCATGAACCATGAGCGTCGGAATGGAATAGCCAGCAAGTGCCGAGAGCTCGGTGTAGAAGAAAGCCTGTCCCATCTATCGCAGATGAAATTAGGCTCTCCAGAAGGGCAGGGATGGTGTATTCGGGCAAAGATCTCGGTGGATGACCCTAATAAGGCCATGCGGGACCCAGTTATATACCGCTGCAATCCTCAACCACATCATCGGACCGGTTCTAAGTGGAAGGTATATCCTACCTATGACTTTTGTGCACCTATCTTGGATGCGGTTGAGGGCATTACTTATGCCCTTAGAACCAACGAGTACCGGGATAGGAATGTTCAGTACTCCTGGATGCAGAAAGCTTTAGGTCTCCGTGAAGTTACCATATGGGACTTTTCTCGACTAAACTTTATACAAACTGTCCTCTCAAAGCGAAAGCTATCGCAGCTAGTTGAGAATAAGGTGGTCTGGGGTTGGGACGACCCTAGGATGCCAACCATCCGTGGTATCAGAAGAAGAGGGATGACAATCCCGGCTCTCCGTGAATTCATACTCAAGCAAGGTCCAAGCAGGAACATTCTCAACCTAGACTGGACCTTAATATGGGCTATCAACAAGAAATTTATAGACCCCATTGCTCCTCGCTACACTGCTGTTAACAAGGAAAATATGGTCCATGCCAAAGTCAACAAAGCTGAAGTATCTTCTGTCATCAAACAGAAACAAAAACACCCAAAAAATCCCGAGCTTGGAGCAAGGGATGTTGTCTACAGTAGTAATATCTGTATCGAGCAAGATGATGCAGAATCGTTTCTTCCCAATGAGGAAATTACTCTGATGGCATGGGGCAATGCCATCGTCCGGGATATTGTCAAAGATCCCAAGACGCAGCTGATTACCCATATTGAGCTTGATCTCTATTTAGAAGGTGATTTCAAGAAAACTAGCAAAAAGATAACCTGGCTGTCTCAGGATCAAGACCTCGTTCCTGCTGAGTTGGTCGAGTTTGATCATCTCATTACGAAGGATAAACTGGAGAAGGAGGACGACATCATGTCATTTGTTAATTGGAAATCCGAGGCTCATTCCTATGCATGGACTGATGCTGCAGCAAAGGAACTTCGAGCAGATGATATTATTCAACTCGAGCGCAAGGGATATTATCGGGTTGATCGTGGTTTGTCTGATGGACAGCCAATGGTTCTCTTCTCTATTCCTACCGGCAAGCTAACCTGAGGCTTTTCCTGCCTCATCCTTTCCTTCTCTTTCTTCTCCCTTTCTGTTACTTAAAAATTTCAGGTATATTTTGTACCCCCGAGTTCAAATCAACTGACTATTTGGTAACTGTGTATCATTTCCATTCGGTAGTTGACTGGTAAGTTAATTACCATGTTTCACTTATATCTAGTTACTCGAGCCATGTCTATGACAGGTGTTGTATAACCTAATTTCCCATGTGACACGAAGCTAGTCAATTGATACCCAGGTGGAAAGGCAATCCTGGAGGCTTATAGTTACATAGTGGTGACTACAAGGCGATTTTCGGAATAATTTATTGACCTTCAACCAACCGCTAGTTACAACAACCCTCCTTCCCAACCCCGAATATCTGAATGCAGCGCACAGCGACAGCACTCCACTCTCCATACTAATCGAACCAAAATCACAACCACCACCCTACCGCACCACCAGTCCCCTAAACTCAGTCGACAAACTGGGTATCACCAACTTCAATCCTTCAGTGGATCGGAAGTTTGGCAGGCTTTGCCCTGTTGCATATCTCAGACACGCTTCCAGGTGTCGGCCGCCTTCTTGTTATCAGAATAATGGCTCAATTGACGGTAAGCCTCACGACGATCCTATTGATGTTAGAACGTTAAGCAGCAAACATTGAGACCATAATAGAAGACGTACCTGTCTCTCGTTCGTCTTCTGGAAGGAGCTCATGTTGGACTTGTACTTTGAATAGTGCTCCTTGGCCTGATCATTGTGGTAGCTGATCATGGAGTCCTTGACGCTACCAAGTTGCTTTGCGTTAGGCATTTTCTATATAATATGGTAAGTAAGGGTTCCTATTCCCGTAAAATTCACAAAAGCCATATCTCACCTCGGTAGTTAGGTTGAACGAATTCGGATTCGGAAATTTGATGTGTTGGTTAAAGTGGTATGCTGGGCTTTCAAATTGCTATTGTTATGGAATTTTGTGCTTGAGGAGGTAATGATTTCTTCCTCTTCCATGAGATGGGAATTGAGGCCATATTCATATCCATTCGCAGGCCTCTTTCTGATCCAGAAGCTTCACAGAAATATCCCATATTGAAGCATTAACTTCTTGATACTCAATGAAGCTCTTCTCCCTGCACCTAGGCGCTTATGCATGTCTAAGTTTTAGATACGGGTTAGCCCCTGCATAGCAACTACTTTTGTCACAGAATTTCTGGCGCTTGAAGAATGATAGGATAATATTTCTTTCGGTATTTCTATCTTTAGTTATTCATGCCCAAAACCAATCACCCCTGGGCATCCCCACCCTGGCGCTAATAATTCCGCCCCCAAATTAGGTCGTTACTTTACTCTCCAGCCTTTTAGCGCCAACTGATTGATTAACGAATAGATATGCTGTCAGGTTTCCCAAAGAAAGAAGTTGTGAATGCATGGGTTTAATCAACCAGTTAACTGAGACAATATTTGGGGGCCATTTGTTGTCTAGGCCTTTTCACTTATGTTTCCCGCCCAACTGGGCATTATATTATTTGAATACTGGCTTCTTTTCGAGTAGTCCTAGCCAATCAGTACCTAGTTATCTGGCTAGATGTGACGTTCCCTAAGCGCCAGGAGTTAACGTATCCAGGGGGCCTGCAGGTGCATGAACAACGCAAGTACCCAGAGTAGAGCCTTTGTCGGGCCCCAGGGATGCGAGTCTACTATTAGGGAGAGAGAATGAATGTACTCTATGACTACAGAGCATGAAATAACTAGATGTGGAAAGTAATATTAACACATACCTAAGTACTCCGTAGGTGACAACAATAGAGTCCTTGCTTAAAACCAGCTCAGCTAACGAGGGCCCGAAGTGACCCACCCTGGGCGGCTAGTTAACTAAGTTAACTAGCGAATCAGGATTATTAACTAGTTAGTCATCTATCCACTGTTAAAACTCGCAGTCTTGGCTCATGTTCTATCAGAACATGGGGCAGATAGCTCTTTGTTCCTGTGGTTCATGTTCCAACACTAGCTGAAATTGGCGTACCTAAACCAGTTACCAGCCTGTTAACATACAGCCGTAAAGCGAAGGGGTCAGATAAATAGTTAAAAGTCTACGAGAAATATGTTATAACTAATTAACTATTCCTCACCTACACAAAGAAACCGAGGCTTTAACTAGTTATGGGTGCTTGGAACCCCAAAGATTCATGAAGACTGGAGTCAATTCCTCTATGGAACCATTTTATTGTTACTGTAGCTATCTAGTTGATTACTAGGTAATTGATTAAATGGCGAAATACAATCTGGAGTCGGATCAAAGCTTTGAAGGGGATGGATGTTCATCGGCTAACTAAGTAGTTGAAATTTAGTAGGTGTTATTACTGAGTCGCAAAAGGGAGAAGGCTTTCTAGAGGAAGTTATGTCAGGTCTGGTACCAGGTACCTAAGGTAGTTAAACATCTTAACTTAGACTTCTTAACATAATTATAGCTATCAAGGCTTATATCAACGGTTTGGGTAACAAACGAGAGAATTGACTGGGAGAACTCATCCATATTGGCGGCGACATCTTATCGTGTAATTTTGTAGTTTGTTCAAAGAACTATATTTATCTAGACAAAGAAGACGATATGATGTCCTATGTCAACTGGAAATCTGAAGTCCGTTCACATGCTTGGATTGATGCTGCAGCAGGGGAACTTCGAGCCAATGACACAATCCAACTCGAGCGTAAGGGGTATTATCGAGTTGATCAGGGGCATTCTGATGGGAAACCGCTTATTCTTTTCTCTATTCCCACTGGCAAGCTTGCTTAATCCCTTGGTTCTGTCATTATAAAGCCTAGATTTGCTTAGCCAGATGCCAATTTTCCTAGCCTCCCAAGAGTTAAACTAGCCGTCATGTTGACGAAGTAATTAATCTCGGCTCCAACGAAATACACTCAATAGCGTAGGAAACGTGAAATCAAATAGAAAAGCCGTTTAAATGCGATTTCAGACTTCATGACTATATATTCGTTGTAAAAAGCTGGCGACGGGCATTCTCCGTAACTACCAGCTGGGTAGCCGAAACGGCGGGGTAGAAGTCGCATCTTCCACATGCTCGACCTTCCCTCAGCTTCAATCATCATCAAAACAAACAACAAACAGTTACATTGCTAGGAGGACAGGATTAGACAGAGCCGGCATCATGAGCGAGGAAGAAGAAATCAGAAGAAGCCTGGGCCAGGTAAATATATACCCTCTAGATTAGATAGTGTAGACAAATGACGTTGACTCCCGCAATAGCTCTTCATCGTCGGCTTTGATAGCCTGACTGCCAGTGAAGATATCAAGTCACTCATCAAAGCACCCTTTTACATCGGAAATATCATTCTGTTCCGACGTAATGTCCACGATTCAGAGCAGTTGATTACTCTCACGAATGAGCTTCAGCAAACCGCTCGGGATGCGGGTCATGCCCGGCCCCTGTTCATTGCCGCAGACCAGGAGAACGGCTGGGTCAGCCAGATTAAGCCGCCCATTGCTACTCAGTTTCCTGGAGCTATGGCGCTGGGAGCAACGGGCTCCATCGAAGACGCTACTCAGATCGGTAGAGCTACGGGTGAAATGCTAGATGCACTTGGTATTAACATGAACTATGCTCCTGTCTGCGATGTAAACTCAGAGCCATCCAACCCGGTTATCGGAATTCGGTCACCAGGAGATGACGGAGCGAGCGTGGGACGAATAGCTTCGGCTTTTGCCAAAGGCTTGCGTGAGAAGAAGATTGTTCCATGTGCGAAGCATTTCCCAGGCCATGGAGATACGACGATCGATTCCCATTATGGCCTTCCCATCGTGGGCAAATCCATCGAAGAACTGGAAGCATGCGAACTGATCCCGTTCCGCAGAGTGACTGCGGAGAATGTCGAGTCCGTCATGACGTCCCATATTGTTCTACCGGCACTCGAGGAGTCAAATCTACCCATGACTCTCAGCAAAAGCTGCGTGGACTTCCTCCGGGAAAGACTCCAGTATGATGGACTGCTGGTGTCTGACTGCCTGGAGATGGATGCTATTCGGGAGTACTATGGCACTGAAAAGGGCGCTGCTATGGCAATTGCCGCTGGCGTAGATTGTGCCATGGTGTGTCATACACTGAAAGTTCAAGTTGGTGCGTATAACGAAGTCTATCAAGCTTTCAAGCAGGGGGATATCACCTCTGAAGGTGTTGCCAAATCAGTCGCAAGAGTCGCAGCATTGAAAGACAAGTTTATTAGCTGGAAGTCAGTCTTCAGAAAACGGAAGCCCGAGCTGCTTTCAGAACTTCGTCTGGCACATGAAAGACTTTCAACGAGAATTTATGCTCGAAGTACAACATTGGTGAGGGATACACAGAAAGTCATTCCTCTCAAGCCAGCTGAGAACGTGGTATATGCATACATTTCTCTAGTCGGAGAAAACGTTGCGGTCCCCCATACTCTTCCACACACCCAGTCAAAATTCTGGGACGTGATCAAGCAATACCACTCATATACAATTGAATGCCCAGTTCTCCAGGACATCATACTTGAAGATGACGAAATGACCAAAGCAAAGATATCAGAAGCTGATGCAGTTATTCTGGTAACCAAAGATGCAAAGATGTCCGTAGACCAGGTAGAGCTGACGAAGCTGATTGAGGGGTTGTCCAAGAAACTCATTGTAGTGGCTATTGGAGGTCCGTACGACTTCCTAGAGGATGAGGATTTTGTCAAAACCTACCTCACCATATATGAGCCAACCGTTGAAGCCTTTATACCTGCTGTTAGAATAATATTTGGAGACATCGACGCGAAAGGAAAGCTTCCAGTGTCGGTTAAACCTTGCCAGGTACCGATTGAGCCTTTCAACGCAGACAGGGATCTTGCTAAAGTCGTCGAACTTTGGCATGGACTTTTACCAAGATATGCCGTACCATCGGCGACACTTTCCCACGTTTTAAGCAGGCCGAATGGAAACCACCTTGTTTCACGTGTTGAAGATAAAGTAGTAGGATTTGTGGCCACATATACAAATGAAGACCGGCCTACGGCATTCATCCCCGTGGTCCTTGTGGACTCCGGCCACCAGGGCAAGGGGGTGGGAACCGCACTGATTGAGCACGCCCGAATATACCTTCGAAACGGATATTCCACATCATCAGTTACAATCGGTTCAAGCTTCCCTCGGTTCTGGCCGGGCGTCCCAATGGATATTTCAAAACAAGCCCAGGAGTTCTTTATCCATCGTGGGTTCTGTCCTGAGCGTAGACCAACAGCAAGGGACTACACTGTCGACTTACTCTCATACGAAGCACCAAAGGGCGTCTTAGAGCGCGCAGAAAAGGCAGGAGTCACATATGCCCCCTGGAGAAAGGAACAATACGAAGAATGTATGGAGAAACAGCGCAAGCTGTTTGGCAAAGACCCCGTGTGGATGGAGGCTTATGAAGGGCTAGCACAAACAGGCCAGTACAACCAGGTAATGGTAGCAACGGACTCATCGACAGGTGAGCAGATCGGGTGGACATTGATGCAGGAATTGGGCATAGGAATGACACGGGAGCTCGCCATGCAGCAGCTGGTGGGTATCAAGTCTGGTCAAATCGGCTGCGTAGGAGTTGTTCCTGAGGCAAGAAACAAGGGAGTTGGTCTCGCTCTGATCACGCATGCTGCCCTTGATCTGAAACGACGAGGGATGGAGCATGTATTCGTCGACTGGTCGAACCACGTCAACTGGTACGAGCGTGCTGGCTTCAAGGTCTGGGGCGAGTATCGGACTATGGTGTTGCATGAGCTGGCGAAGACTAACTAGCAGCTGCTCTCTTCTTATTCATTTTTAGCCATTGGCCTTGCCCTTGCATAGATTCAACAGTATAATAGTCTCCATCAGCGGAATCCAACAACTATATTATCCTTTTCAGCTCAAGCAGGAATCAAAATAGTAATAATAATAAACAGTTCGTGGAATAAAATCTTCGTCGTCGATAGAAAGTTATCGCGATGTCTTGGCACGGATGAGCTTAAAAAAAGTGTTGGTTATCCAAAACTCGACGAAAGCAAAGACAAGCAACGAATATAAAAGCGAACAAGCTACAAGCGAGCTAAAAGAACGCCCAGGATGGCTTCAATTCGGATACCAGCGCTCAGAAACCTCCTCAGCCGGCCTGTTCTGCCCACCAGACATGTGCAGCGCCGATGGGCCCAGGTCCACGATGTCCGCTTCATCGCAACGCATCAGTCCTCACAGGTGCTTGATAAGTACAAAGAGAAGCTAGCCCGCAAGGCCAAAGAGTGAGCATGAGATTCCCCTTGTTATACGTCTACTTCTAATTTACTAACGGGATAATGTATCAGGGAGGGCCACGATTCCGTATCCTCGCTCAAGGAAGCATATAAGGAGAAGATCCAACAAGTCCGCAACGCCGACGCAGCACCCCAGACACCCCTAAAGCCATCCTCATCACCGTCCTCTGAACCAGCAGGCCTGGATAAGAAACCCTCCGCACCCACAGCCAAGAAATCCTCCTCACCACCCGGCATCAAGCCGCTATCATCATACCTTGATCTGGAGAAAACCGCCGCCTTACCGCCCGACATCATCGGCAAGCTATGGCGAGCACGACACGTCACGAACCCGAACTCGATATGCGCCAGCATCCCGATAGATACATACAACCGCATGGTGCAAGTAGCTCGACAACACCCGCAGTTCGTCCTCCCTTTGCCGCGGGAGTTAGAAACGCCGCAAGACCCTAAGGAAAACGCCGAGGCAAGCTCGGAAACGCCAGCTGAGAAGGCAATTGCTGCTGAAATGCATTTCCTTCAATGGGGGTTCCATCCGCCTGCGTCGGCGAGTGATTCGAAGGTCCCCACGCCAGTTAGCACGCATAACACGCATACTTCGACGGTGATATTTACTTCCTTGGCGGAATATAAATTGCATGCTGGCTTTGCGCCGCCGCACACGGTGATTACGCACCATCTGGACTTTGCGGATGATAAGGGGATTGTATTGATGAATGGCACCGTGGTGACGGATAGGGGTATGACGGTTGACGATGCACAGCTGCTGGTGCTGTGGTTGCAGAAGTTTTACGACTGGGAGGCTGAGGGGGCTGGGAGCCAGGGGGGTCGAAAGGGGGAGATGTTGAGGATGTTCACGAGTGGTGACACAGAGGGGTTCAAGGTGCAGGAACTTATCGATGAGGTGCAGAGGGTGTAAGTAAGGCGGTTTGTTTTGTCCAACGGTTTTTTTATCGGTAGTGTGGGGTGTGTGTGTGTAGATTACACGGCATGTACAATATTGATAGTTAAGATATAGAAGGACTGGAGTGGTCTAATGTTGAGTATTATTAAAATAAAAATGTATGTTCTTCCTCTACGCTGTGTAATGTGATCATGGACAAAGAGGGTGAAAAGTAAGAGTGGGCAGCATTAAGCCGTAAGCCAACCATGCAAAATGGGCTGTATAAAACCCGGGTATCGTGTCAATGGTATGCAAACATGGAACCCAGAGGTAGCAAAAAAGAAAAAGAAAAGAAATAAATGAAAGGAGGTCCAGAAGCCAAAAAAAACCAGAAGCCAAAATAAAATCAATCAATCAAACAAGCCGAACGAGGAAGCAAGCCCAAGTGCACCGAAACAACGAACCACCCCCCTGATATGGGTAACCATGCAAAGAACCAACGGAAGACGAAAACGAAATAAAAACTGGGACAAAGGAAAAGCAAACCGGTGACGCCGGGAGATGATTATGCGTGCGTGTGTGCGTGTGTGCGTTAGTGTGGTATTTATGGGGGAGCCGTGGATGATTACATTAGTCCAGGACTTCGTCGACGATGAAGGCATGTATGTAATCGAAATACATGGGCTCGGCAACGGTGTCGTTATGCTGGCCGTTGGGAAAGGTGCGCCAGATGCATTCTGTTCCTTTAGACATGCTGAACAGTTGTAGCATGTGATCGGGTCTGGGGGGAGGATGTTAGATAAGACTCTTAAGATGACGGTAATATGTGTATAAAGGCGGGGGAATGAATAAACTCACGGAATTATCTCATCTTTCAGGCCGCTGAGGAACAGTATTGGGACAGTGGTGATTTTGGGCAGCACCTCCTCATTCAACCAGGTCTGATGACACAGTCTAGCAACGTACTTTGCAGCCGGGAAGACACTAATCCACTCGTTAGCATAAGAAAGTAATGAATGCAGATTGATGTATTACACACCTGGGTATCAGCTTGCGGATGCTAAGAAAGGTATTCTCCAGGATCAACGCCTTGATGTCCCCCTCCTTCTGGTTCTTTGCAACCAGATCAATAGCCACGGCACCACCCAGGCTCTGCCCATGGATAACAATCTTGGTGCCCTGCAACTCGGCCCGGTTCCGAATATAGTCGAGCGCCGTCTGGGCGTCTATCTTGAGGCCAGCCTCGTCCGGGGTACCCGTGGAGAGGCCGTAGCCTCTGTACTCGAGCATGAAGATGTTGCAGTCTAGCTGCTGCTCAAGCATATGGGCTATGGGAGCGCGGTGGCCGATGTTCCCCGCATTGCCGTGGAACATGAGGATGGTGACCTGCGCCTTGATTTTCCTGTTGGAGGGACGGATGAAGTAGGCAGCCAGCACCTCGCCGTCCGGGGTGGGGATGCGCAGGTCTTCGAAGTTGGTCATGCCGAAGTCTGACGGCTTGGGAACGTTTGTTCGTGCATCGGCGGGTATGTTGCGGGGATAGATCAGGTCACTTTAGCATGTTTAGCTGCTGCTACAGAGCAAGTAGGAGGGGGATTTTAGGGTTGAAGTATGTAACGTATGTAGGTAGGTATGTAGGTATGGGCGTACTTTTGCTTGAAGTAGAGCATGCCGCTGGCGACAACGGCCAGGCCGCCAGACGCCAGAACAGGCAGTCTGAGAAACTGCACGACGTTGGCAGCCATGGCAGCGAAGTTCCAACCGGACGGTGGCTGAGGAGGAGGAGCGTCCGCCATCGCTGCTGGCTGACTGGCTGGCTAGGTTGGCTGGCGCGCGGTATGCTCGAGGCGAAGCTGCAACGGTGTGGTCGGTCGGGAGCTCGCTAGGGGCAACAGCCTTTAGTTTTGCGCAGGGAACGAGGACTGGGATGGGATGGGTAGCTCGAGGCGGGTGTGGTTGGCGACTGCGACGGCCCAGGGATCCTCGCTGGGTTAGATATGCAGTTTGCAACGATCCCCAATGAAGCTGCAACGTGAGGACGCCGTTGAAGGCTGCCGGGAGAAGGGCGGCGGGGGAAGGGAAGTCGGACGGCGGACAGAGGTGATAGGTCTGATCGGGGGGGGGGGGGGCGCCACAGGGCTCGCAGTCGATAGAGGGCGGAACCGCGCGTGGATCTAGACGGCGGGAACAAGCAGGTTATCGCAGTCGCAGGGCAGTGGACGCAGGAGTATTAGCTGTATTGCCTGCAGCACAGGGGGGCCTGGGACGGGCTATTAGATATTATAATACAAGAGTGAAGAGTTGGAAGTTGGAAGTTGAAAGTTGAAGCTTGCGATGTCGCGAAGTTTGAAGTTTTTTGATGGAGAAAAAAAAAAAAAAAAAAAAAAAC